GACTTCTGCATATTGACTCTCCTCCGGGTTAAGGGGTTTTTTTACTATTAACCCAGAGGTTTAATTGCTGTCTTACCCAATCTTCTTCTGACCCATAGACTGGCCAAAAGACATTTTTTAAAAATCTTCTTCCCTCCCCATATCTTAGTACAATATTCTATCATCTTCTGCTTATCTTTCCCTTGGGTTCCAGGGAAATATCTCCAATTATCTAAGATATATGCCAGAGGGGTATTCTTAGGTACAGTAGGTACCCTTCCCATGGGAGCCGAAGGCTTGCTGCCCTTCGCCCCCATCTTCTGGAATATCCACAAACACACACTCAGTCACTCCCCTTGTTCCTGGCCCAGTCCCTCGCGGGAGATGGAAAACGCAGTACTTAAGTGTCCACACTCGCTTGGTTCAGTATATCGAACCTCTCATTTGTTATATTCCAGGAAACCCAATCCCGCCCGAACGGCAAACCCACGAAAAATTTCGCAATATACTTACGCGTCCTGCGTCTTCGTCCGGACTCCTGTGCACAGAATTTTATGGGATTTTACCGGTTTCTCCTTTGCTCATTATTCTAGAATTTAGGTTCGTCGGTAAGGTTGGGGTGAGCTGTTGGTCGCGGGGCCGCGAAATGTCGCGGGGCGCCTCCCCGGAGGACCAAAGCCCACCGTTCCTTATCCGAGTCACGGCACCAAGTAATTGTTATAAATTGGGACCACAACGGATCATAATCCAATTGAATTTTATTAATTATAGCAAGTAGAATATGAGCAAAGACAGCGCTGGACGACAGGGGAGTCTGCGCTCCGACAACTGCCATGCTGAACAGTTCTAACAGTCCCTTTTTATCAGTCCTCCAGTTCCGCATTCGTATCTTCAACGGAGTACTCTGCGCATGCCCCAGTTGCTTGAGGCTGAAGGCTTGAAGTCCTCCTCGGTTACCTTTAGATATCCTTTTCCATATATGGTCTTCAACTTGCTGTGCAATAATTTTTAGAATTGTTTTGCAAAAGCCCTTAGTAAGCGTCTTGCGGTTTGTAAATAATTTTGGTGTCAACTTATGCAAGTAAAGCACTTAAGCAAAGCAATAGTTGCCCCCACCCATATGTCTGCCAGTTTTTTTTTTTTTTAGAACATCTTGCAGATATTTCCTCAAAACTTGCAGATGTTTCCTCAAAACTTGCGCAAGCGGTGTCTGGTTTAATCTGCACAAGCGATCACGGTTATCTTTTTTTTTGTTGTCTAATCTTTACATCAGGCTTAGCATAAATCTTAATAAACAATACCATAGTCCCTAGTTTTTCACAATACTGTCCCACACACCCTGCCACTCATGACTGTTCAGCCTTGGGGAAAACCTCTTGGTCCCCCTATATTGTCGTCTAACCCCAGACAAGACCCAAACCTGACTCTGCTTAACTTTTGAGATCAGACAAAATGGTTGTGGGTAGCACACAGTCTGTGTGTGTGCCAACATGCTGATCCCCATCACAATCAGCAGGCAAGTCCCAAGGATACCCAAAGGCCATTCAAAACCTTCAGAACTCTCAGTTGATGCTGCTGTACTTGTCACTGGGGCTGGTGTAGCTGCTGTGCTTGCCGGCTCTCCCACCACCAGCTTCTCTGAGTCCAGCTCTTCCTCCTCTGCCTTGCTGGTAAATGCTGCGTGGTCTCCTGCATCCTCCTGGGGCTCGGCAGGCGGCTTCCGGGGGATGCTCTCGGCCGTCGCGGGGCTCGGCTCCTCCGCGGGGCTCGGCTCCTCCGCGGGGCTCGGCTCCTCCGCGGGGCTCGGCTCTTCCGCGGGGCTCGGCTCCTCTGCGGGGCTCGGCTCCTCCGCCGCCTTCTCCCGCTGCTCGGCAGCCGCCTCCTTCCTCTCCTCGACCGCCCCGACCTCCTCCACCGGCAGCCGTCCCCTCGCGGCCTCCGGCCCCGCTCCCGCCGCCGCTTGGTCCCCGGGGCCGCTCTCCCGGGCCGGTTCGGCTGCCGCCGGCTCCCGAGGCCGCTCCCCCTCAGCTCCCCGCAGCCTCACGAAGATGGAGAGTAGGGTGAGGGCCAGGACGGTGAAGAGCAGCCGGACGGCCAGGTACAAGTCCACGGCCACGTCCGTCCCGCCCTGCTGCTGGAGCCCGCCCGTATTACAAGCCATTGCCATAAAGCACAGTGAGACAAGAACCTTAGCCCAGGCCCCACACTTGATAAACACTAACACAGCAAATACCGGCTCTACGTAAGTTACAACGGTCTGAAGCTGTGAGATCAAGAGAAACAACTCTGAGAGCCAATAAATCGTCATTGTGATGAGTGACTATTAATCTGGTCAGATCTGTCTCAACCCTTTGTGCCCCACATTGGGCGCCAAAAAAGAACTGTCGTGGTTTAAACCCAGTCAGGTAATTTGTTCGCTCACTTCCCCCCCCTTTCTTGCCCTCCCCCTGCTCTTGGAGGGATGGAGAGGAGAACTGAAAAGAATGCAACTCCCACGGGTTGAGATAAGAACAGTTTAGTAACTAAGGTATAACACAGATCACTACTGCTACCACCAATGATAATAATGATAAAGGAAATAACAAGGGAAGAGAATACAACACCTCAGCACCAGCTGACCGATAACTCGCCCCCCTCAGCCCGACCAAGCTCCAACCGATACCTCCTCCAACCCTGCAGTCTCCCAGCCCTTCCGGCTAACTCCCAGTTACATCCTGGGCATGACGTGCTGTGGTATGGAATAGCTCTTTGGTCAGTTTGGGTCAGGTGTCCTGTCTCTGCTTCCTCCTGGCTTCCCCTCCTCCCTGGCAGAGCATGAGGCTCACAAAATCCTTGGCCAAACCAAAACATCCTTGTTATCAGCTCTGTTCCCGAGCTGAAAGTCAAAACACTGCACTACACCAGCTACCAAGGAGGAGAAAAATGACTGCTACTGCTGAACCCAGGACAATACCTTAGTTGAAATGCTGGGTTTGGTTTGCTTCTTCTGCAGCCTTGGGAGTGTTAAACAGAAGTATCAAAATATTTCTGATAGCTGTTACTACCCACTGGAAATAAAAATGAAAGCAATGCATTTTCCAAGACAAATGAGCCTGCATGAGGAAGGCAAGAAAACACATGAATGTATAAAACCAGAACTGGCTGGCAACACGTCATCACTGGCACATGGGAACACCGGTGCTAGCTTGGGAAGGCTGCCTTTGCTTACAGATTAATGAAGCAGGGGATTGAATGATTTCTGTCAGGGAATTTGCAGTGCCTGTCAGAAATGTCCTTGTGATCTTGAAGGCCGTAAAAAAGTTTTAATCCTTTTCTCATCATCTGATTAAAGTTTTAGAATTACAAGAGACATCTCAGTTTGTCAATGGCAGCAACAAGGAAGCACCAAGCCAAGCATATACTAGAATGCCACTTAAGGCAAGCCTTGTCCTTTTCACATAACAAAGTTGGCTCTTGCACAAGAAGGTGGCTTGGGAAAAATGATGTGAAAGCCAGGCAAGAAAACTATCCCAAATTCCTGACGATTCACCACATGCGGCACAAGGCTTTGCTAGGAGGTCCCCCACACACACTATACCTGCCATAGACCTGACAGAGAAGAGCTTCATCTGTGGCCACCCCTTTCCCATCCACCAGGAGCCCTCCCTCTGAGGCCAGACCAGACCCTTCCCACAGCCCACCCTCCCAGCAGACACCCCCCCTTTTCCCCAGGTCTCTGCACAGCCTACATGAACTGGGCTCTCTCCCTGACTGATCTCTCCCACCTCTCCTTCCTGCAGGGTGCTCATGTCAACTCCCCTCCCTCCAGTTCTCTGCCTGGGGTTTCAGTTAGCACAGGCACAGACTCAACTGCTCTCCACTAGACCCAGTGTTGCAGCTTAGAATGCACCCCTGGACTGTCATAAGACATTACTTATGATTTATCATTAGTACCTTACACATTGTTTATTGTATGTCATATAAATCAAATAAACTCAAAGATAAATGGTATAAAAAATAAAAATACTGACATGTTTCAAATATCTAAATACTTTTAGAAATCCGGCTTCTCTTTTGAAGTGTTGAGTCCATTTTGTTCAGTAAGACTCTGCAGACTCAGAACTCAGAATGACAAAAGTCAGAAGATGCTGTGAAAATAAATACGTAAAAGATGACACTTCAGGGTCAAAGACCTCCCCAAGAGTCCCAGAGAGTTTACAGCCTAAGATCAGTCCACTTTGGAAATGATACCTTACAGGTTTTCTGACTAGTCTGCTACAGATAGCTGCAAGAGACACTCCAGACACACCAGTGGCCATGCAGCCAGGCAGCATGAAACTGTCTCAAGTCAAAGAGAAGTCAACCAGCACAGAATATCTAGGTATTCTGGGAAGCAAGCTGCTCACTCTTACCAAGTCTGAAGCCTCGACTTTCCGAGCATGTGTGTGAATTTGCTGTTTAAACTAACCTCCAAGACAACAGTCTTGCCTAAACCAGTGGGCATTCTGCAAAGGCAAGACAGGCAGCTGGCTGGAGCATAGTTCACCTCTAGGGTCATCTTTCAAACCAAGAAGCTGCCATCACGAGTCTGCCCAGCAAACCATGGAAAACTGGCTCACCTTGGCCAGCAGAACACAAATGCCAAATGGTCAAATAATTTCTGAAGGGCAAGTGATAGTAGAGACTCAACTGGTTGCTGCCAGCTTTAGCGAGATTGCTCCTTCCCATCCCTGCTGGTAACTTTGATTAAACAGATTTACTGCACATATACATTTGATTAATCAGCTACTGGAGTCCCCCACCTCTTTTCAGATCAATGCCAGACTCTGAGCAGACCTACTTCATTTTCACAGTGATACAGAGCATGGGAGGAATTCCTGCCCACCATCAGCCATGTCTCCAGAAGCTAGCAGAAGAGCTATTTAAACTAGAACCCCAGCCCCCAGGGAAGGAGGGGCTCTGGTGGCCTCAGACCCAAACCACTGCCTGGGTGAGCAGGCTGACTCAATCTGGACCCAAGAGCTGGTCCAGACTCAAAAACAGCAGCACAGAGGGGCTCAAGGGATTTCATACCTGCATGTTAAATCTGAAGGCTCTGTTGGCTTCTTCCACAATCCTTTCTTTGGTGTTCTTGTCGAAGTCCAAAGCGTTCATCCTTGCCCTGTAGAGCTGCTTGAACTGCTGCACATTGGAGATGTTACCAAACACATAGAACTGGATCCCTTCCTCAGTACTGGGCAACTTGAGGGCTCTCTGGGCTACCTTCTTCAGCACTTGGCCACCCGAGAGGTCCCCCATATAACGTGTGTAAGCATGAGCCACTAGCAACTCTGGCTCATTCTGTCCCACATGATGGATTCTGTCCACATATAGCTGAGTTGCCTCTGAACACTGGATCTTCTCTTTCCAGTCTTCTCCATAGAAATATTGCAGGTCTTTGATCAACGCTTCTTTCCGGTGAAGCTCTAGGGGGAAGTACAGAGGAGCAAAGACCGGGTTGTCCTCATTGCGATCCATTTCCTCTTCCAGAGCAGAGTACGTGAAGTAAAGTGCCACAGTGGCCAGCTACAGACAAAACACAGTGTGAGAAGCCATTCACTACATCAGCATATTACACCTTCTGGCTGCCCCCGTCTGCACAGTCCTGGGGTAAACAAGGAGGAAACTCCCAGGCTTGACACAAAACCAGCCTGGAGATGTGCGAGGCACAGATCGTTTGAAGGATGACAGGTTCTTCTCTAGCTACATTCACAGAATCATAGAATCACAGAATAGTTAGGGTTGGAAAGGACCTTAAGATCATCCAGTTCCAACCCCCCTGCCATGGGCAGGGACACCTCACACTAAACCATGCCACCCAAGCCTCTGTCCAACCTGGACTTGAACACCGCCAGAAATGGAGCATTCACAACTTCTCTGGGCAGCCCATTCCAGTGCCTCACCACCCTTACAGTAAAGAATTTCTTCCTTATATCCAATCTAAACTTCCCCTGTTTAAGTTTGAACCCATTACCCCTTGTCCTGTCACTACAGTCCTTAATAAAGAGTCTCTCCCCAGCATCCCTATAGCCCCCCTTCAGATACTGGAAAGCTGCTATGAGGTCTCCTTGCAGCCTTCTCTTCTCCAGGCTGAACAGCCCCAGCTTTCTCAGACTATCTTCATACGGGAGGTGCTCCAGACCCCTGATCATAACGATGCCTTCAGAGCACAAAGAATTAGCCTCATGTTGCCAGCTCTGTACTCTGGGGGGGTTCCTCCTGTTACCTTGAGAGCAAGGCACAGGGACAAAAGGTACAACTAGCACCAACAGCTTTGTGTTACAGGAGACTACTGTAAATGCCAAAATCTTCAGGATCGGACCCAAAACACCATCTCTTCTGTACAGAAGATAGAGCAATCCAACTGGAAGTCTATGGAAAACAGCTTAGTCTTCAGAGGATGGAATGAAGCGCTGCAGCCACACCTGCCCTTGTGGCCAGCAGATGCATGGCCAGCAGCCTAGCACTTCCACCTAATCAAACTTGTGCTGGACCAGATTGCTCCTCATCCCCCTACCCCAGCCATAGGATACACCAGGCAGAAGTCCTGGACAAGTGCCCTCCTACGGTTTTGACTATGCCACCTAGAAACTGGATTCCTCGCCACCCCTTGCACACAGGGCTGCAGGGCCCTGCCTGAGTCTGCACCAGTCACTGGACACATCAAAGAGCTGCTCTGCCACGGGAGCAGAGCAACACTCACCTTGAAGAGCTCCTCCTTGATCCGTCCTTTCAGAAAGTCTTTGACAAACTGGGTGTTCTCCGCATGGTCATGGGATTCCTTAGTCCCCTCCTTCAGCAGCTCTGAAAGGTCAGTGGGACTGCAGGCAAACAGGGAGAGCGCCTTTTACCCCACTTACACCCACAGGAATGAGTTTGTTCCTCCTGTGTTTGGAGGGATGCCCCACTCACTGCCACCTCCAGCCCAATTTGGAGAAGGTACAACTTGGGATTTCTGGAACAAGGCAGAACCAGGAGGGTGGCAACAACCAGAGGTTCCTTCTACAGATGCAGGCACCCATGTGCCAACCAGACTTGCCATTCCAGAAGTGCTGGGCCCACCAGGGGCTCACCACAAACATGCTTCAGCAATTGACAAGCATCCTCTGACCCCTGCACCTTACTTTTGCTTCTCATCCATGAATGAGAAGCATCAATACTTCAAAAGGAGGCCTTGAGCATACTAGGAGCAACCACCAGGGAAGGCTAAAAGGCACAGAAGCCTTACTGATTACCCTTCATGGTCACTCTGTAGAAGGAGAAAGGCTCATGTAAGAGAAGATGAGAGCTGAACAGAAAAACAGGGAAAGAACACCCTGAAAAAGTGTACTTATCTGGAATTTTACTGGTTTTGCAGGTTTCCACAAGTCAGCTACTAAAAAGAATAAGTAAAATCTATGATTTTAGGCTATAGCCACTACACCTACCTGGAGTTTGGTACAGAGTTAACAAATGCGCTCAAAATAACACCAAATTGCACTTTACGGGTTTTCTGACTAGTCTGCTACAGATAGCTGCAAGAGACACTCCAGACACACCAGTGGCCATGCAGCCAGGCAGCATGAAACTGTCTCAAGTCAAAGAGAAGTCAACTAGCACAGAATATCTAGGTATTCTGGGAAGCACCCTGCTCACTCTTCCCAAGTCTGAAGCCTCGACTTTCCGAGCATGTGTGTGCATTTGCTGTTTAAACTAACCTCCAAGACAACAGTCTTGCCTAAACCAGTGGGCATTCTGCAAAGGCAAGACAGGCAGCTGGCTGGAGCATAGTTCACCTCTAGGGTCATCTTTCAAACCAAGAAGCTGCCATCACGAGTCTGCCCAGCAAACCATGGAAAACTGGCTCGCCTTGGCCAGCAGGACACAAACACAAATGCCAAATGGTCAAATAATTTCTGAAGGGCAAGTGATAGTAGAGACTCAACTGGTTGCTGCCAGCTTTAGCCAGATTACTCCTTCCCATCCCTGCTGGTATACTTTGATTAAACAGATTTACTGCACATATATATTTGATTAATCAGCTGTTGGAGTCCCCCACCTCTTTTCAGATGAGGAGAAAGATCACCCCTTAACCTGGAAGGTCTCCTGAATACCAAATACTGTCTGTTCCAGATTGTGAGACAGGACTCACCTGACATCATCATCATCTGTTTCCTCATAGCGCAACATTTCCTCTTCTCCTGTCTCTGTGCTCTCCATTGCAGGCAGTATTGCTGGTTAGCAGTAGAATTAGACAATCTGAAAGGCAAAACCAGAGAGGGGTTTTAGACGGAAGCTGCCTTCACGAAGGGATGGGTCTGAAATGCGGAGCCATACAGCAAGCAGCCTCTGAGCTGCTCCACCAGGCAGGGTGGTGAGGAGCAGCCACTGGCCATTTCCACGGCACAGCAGGCACTTTCAAGGAAGCAATCTTGCTTGCTCAGTTAAATTACCCCAGTGAACCGTAACACTAACACCACCCAGCTGACCAAATGTTAGCCTCAGAGGAGACCTACAACACAGCACGCTGCATTTGGTTTCCCACTTCAGGATGGCTCCAGGCTAAAAAGATCAGAGACCTCCACATTAGCTATCTGCACCGAAATTGTGAGCAAGCTGCTTTCCACTGGTGCTACTAAATATTTTATCCAATGCCAGACTCTGAGCAGAGCTACTTCATTTTCACAGTGATACAGAGCTTTCCCTAGAGGAAAGCTGTGGTGAATTAGAGCAGGAGTCAGGCATCTCACAGGGAGACAAACACCTTCGCTACAATGGAGTATACGCAGACGAACTTCCAAAGCAGGGGCAGGTTTCACTGCTCTGCCTTTTCTGGCCTGTACTGCATGTGAAGAGTCAAAACGGCTGCTGCAGATGGCTCCTGCTACCACGCACACTCTCCTCTCCTGCCTAGCAGGGTTAACTTGAAACCCCAGAAGTAACTGAGTTCTCCCTCCTCTTCTGCGAAGAGAAACAAACAGAAAAAATCTCCATGGATGTAGCAGGACACCCAAAGAACTACCCAGAAGCAGGAGTGAGACACTGGGCTTATAGCTGAGGTTCCTCTTAAGCAGAAATCCACCCACCTCATTTACAAAATGGACCTGTAATCAGCTTTGTGCAGAGCAGCACCATCACCTTAGAGGCAGCCTTGCCGGATCAACAGGGAACTAAGCTGTTTCCTGGCTCTTGGAAAGCACTCACTGTAAGAGAGCCAACCCTGATGCTCTCCCATTCGAGGTCAGCCCCCTCAAGGACAGAAGAGCAGGCAGGCAGCTGCAAGTTCACCAAGCTCAGCACGGGGCCAGCACCAGTACATCAGCTGCTGGATCCCAGCTCACATGGAGCACCCCAGCTATAAATGAACTGCCCTCTGGCTCCTCTCTGAGTTTCTGAAGCCCTGTTCTACAACCACTTCCATTGCCCTCCACACTCCAGCACAGGACTCGGCCAGGAGCGCTTTGAGCTGGGTCCGAGCACCCAGTCTGGAGGACACATCACCAGGGTGAGGGTTTCCCCTGTGATCACACAGTCCTTGGGCTCACTGGGACAGAGCCTTCCCCAAGGGGAGGACTGACCACAAAACACTACCTTGTGATGCCAGCCAGCCCACTGCAGGAACAGAAGTCACAGGGGAAGCAGCCCAACATCCCCAGGGCCCTGCACCACAAGATAGGACACAGCACAGCCTCCCCAGCCAGAGGGCAGAGGAAGACAGGTTCAAGGGTGCTATTTTCATTTTGATAACTCGATGGACAGCAAGCACCACACCAGGTCAGCAAACTTGTCACAGCTCCAAACATCCACCATGGGGAAAGGAAACTGAAGCAAAGTGGCAGAACCTGCCCAGGCTGAGCCAGGTGCCGGTCGCAGGCCCAGGGGAACAGCCTGCCTGCCTCACAGCACAGCCAGCCTCCTGCCAGCACAGCTGCACAAGTCCTGATGGCATCCTGGCTTCCTGCACAGCTGGCTTCAAGTCAGGCACTCCTCAAGAAATGCAGATTCCAAAATTAAACTAGAGAAACTGGTTCCAATTTATCTTACACTTCCAGACAGGCAGAGTCCTGCAGGTAGGGTGTGCTGCCTCTGCATGCTGCCAGGCCTGCAGCCACTGGCACACAGGAGCAGGTGAGAGCAGAGCTACAAAGAGCACTTCAGCACCATCCTGCAGACAGCAAGAGGCCTGGAGATGGTTTGACATTACATCCAACCCAAAGGAAGCCACCAGATCAAGCCTCAGACATGACTAGTTAACAGCCGCAGCAATGGCTCAAGGCTCCCAATAGCCAGACATAAACAGTGTGACTCCAGAGATCATCATTCTACAAGACGCATCTGCTAATTCACTTGACAGAGCCTCTGCACCCGTGTCTTGCAACACACTCATGTTTAGCAGCACTCACCACACTGGGACTTTGCTCTCCATGCCATGGGGCATCTGCTGGGCTCTCAGAAGCCTTTACCCAAACCTGTAACTACTGTTGTAGAAGCACAACTCAGAGCAGTGAATTACTGTTCCAGCAGCAGTGTCTGCTGCTGGAAGAAGGGGTTAGCACGCAAACAGTCGTTTAGACTTTGGTGCAGTCAGATTTGTATCTCCCACAACTGTTTTTGCAGATGCTCCGTCTGACATGATCACCTCTACAGTGATAGGCAGTACAGTGACAATAGCAGTCCCTTCAGCCCAAGGGGAGGACACTACATACACAGGGCAACATGGAAGCTGAGATTTTTCCCAGTACGATCCAGCATAGACATGACGAGCTGTGAATTCAGGAGACAAGTCAGCACAAATCAAACCCCTGTCCTTTTCAGTACTAAGGTATCACATGAGAACTCAGAGGAAGGGAAGTAAGAATCACTGCATCTCTTACCATTACACATCCCTTTTATTCAGAATCTGGTAGCTGAAAGCCCACAACATGGTCACTGCTCAGGGCCCTCATTTCTTGTGGTTTTGCTCTCCTGGAAGAGGCCAAGTCCTAATCACTGAAGAATGGGGTTGATTGAGGAATAGGTTTGTAAACAAGTAACCTGAAGGATATTAGCCTTTGTTAGCAAGTATAGAGGAAAGGAAATTATTAAGATAAGCTTATCTTAATAAAGCTTAATAAAGCTTAACCCCCTGGTGGTTACTGATATTACTGATATGACAAGGATCCTAAAACAAAGTGATGAATAAATAACCACCAGGGGTTTGAAAGCCCACTACAACATTTTTTTAGGCATACAGGAGGCATTCCCTAAAAGTATGATGTAACGCATGTGATCTCAGGAATATGTATGTTTAAGGAAAATATAATCACAGCCTGGTTGATACCTGGGAGAGACACACTTGGAGGAGCTATCTCCCATGTCTCCCGGCGCTGCAGGTAATACCTGCTTGTCAACTTAAAACTTTATTTGGTATTTGACTTGTGTTGTGGCTTGTTATAGTTACGATTTTCTTCTTGTGATTTTTGGTATTGGTGAGAGGCTGTTATAACTGCGTTATTGTCTCTTTTTCAAGTGTTGTAACTGTGTGGAGTGTGTCTATTTTGTGGCTTGTTACAGTGATGATTTTCATCTTGTGATTTTGGTATTGGCGGCAGGATGTTATAACTGTTAATTGTTGTTGTTCAATACAATTTTAGTCTCTGTCTCAAGTGTTGTAACTGTGTGGAGTGTGCCTGTGGGATCCCGTGTGTGTGTGTGAATGCAACACTGATAATGGGAAATCGGTAGAGTGAAGAGATTTTGAAAAAGAGTCCTTTAGGGTGCATTTTAGCACATTCGAAAGAACCTGGGAGTGTTTCCTGGGTGCTCAGTAAATAAGAAAACATTGGTGAAATATTGTAACCAA